ACTACTGGTGCCCCCTAGCTGCCTATAAACCTATATATACAGCCTCATTCTCTCTCTTGTACCTCCCACCACCAATGCCCTACTAGACATTTCCAATTCAACCTGGACATGAACTCAGAACATTTTCATTGGCTGTACTCCACGCTTTAATCACTTGCCCTCCTCATTTCTACCTCCTAGCTTCCTTCAAGTCTCATCTAATGTCTCACCTTCTAGAAGACGCTTTCCCCAGTCCTCTTAAATTTTAGTGTTTCTCCTCTGAAATTACATTTACACTGTATATTCCATTCACACTATATAGAGAGTGTCTCAAAAGTCTTAGTGCAGTCTTATACTTTAATAACTTCAGCAGTATAAATGCTAGAAACTTACAGAAAGTGACATTTGAAAGGTTAATTATTTACATTTTTAAAAGATTAATATATTTCTCATGAAAATTCAATAGAACCTCTATCACTCTAATAGATTTCCAAATTTTGTAAAAATTTTCATTAGCTGCTGCTCAATGATAGAAAGGATTGCAATTGTAATCCTGACCTTTAGATCATCTCAAAAATGAGGTTTTGATGCATACATGATGGTTTTCACATGATCCCACAAGAAAAAGTCTAACAGAGATAGATCAGGTGAGTGGAGTGGCTGAACAAAAGGACCTTTTCTACTGATTCAGAGATCTGAGAAAGTTACATTAAAAAACTCTCATATGTGCAATTCATGATGCCAGGTGCTCCATCTTGTTAAAATTACATACACATTATTCAAAAATCACAAAGTAAGTGTAGTAAAAATTTAAGTAATTCAACTTTCAAATGCCATTTTTGTAAGTTCGTAGCATTTATACTTCTGAAGTTATTAAAGCTTAAAACTGGACTGAGATATTTGGGATGCCCTGTATATCATCATGTATGTACATAATTGCTTGCAATTGTCTCCCCGTTAGATTGTAAGCTCCTAGAGGAACAAGATCGTGTTCTTTACCTTTTTTTGCATGGCACGGTGCCTGGCACATAGTAAAAGCTTAATAAATGGTTGTCGACTGACTGCCTCAACACGAATCAAATAATGAAAACAGATAATGAGTTCATCAGGTTGAATTGATACTCGTGGCATCCAGAATGAGCAGAGATTTAAAGTTAGTAAGATCATCTAGTCCAGCGCGCTTATTTTATAGATGAGAAGAAAAAAAAACAGGCTCAGGGATGGGAATTATTTGCCCAAGATCATACACAGGTGTTGAGTGATAGAACAATATATAATCATCTCACTGTATTCTGTGCTTGTCAAATCCTATCTTCACTGTTGTGTTCTGTTCAAAGCATCATAATTTAGGAAGGACAGTGACAAAATGGAGAGCAACCAGAGGATAGCAACCCAGAAGGTGAAGGGCTTTGAGGCCATACCAAACAAAGATCAAGTGAAAGAACTGGGGGTTCTAGGGGCAGCTAGGTGGTGCAGTGGATAGCGCTCTGGAGGCAGGAGGACATGAGTTCAAATCCAACCTCAGACATTTGATACTTACTAGCTGTGTGACCCTGGGCAAGTCACTTAACCCCATTGCCTAGCCAAAAAGAAAAAAAAAAGAACTGGAAGTTATGGAGAAGCCTGAAGAAGGCTTAACATATAGGAAAACCACAGCTATATTTAAGTATAAAAGAGTGGTCCTGGGGGTTGTTATCATTATTATTATTATTTCAAATCCAGACTCAGATACTTGCTAGCTATTTGACCCCGGGCAAGTCACTTAACTTCTTTTTGCCTCAGTTTCTTCATCTGTAAAATGGGGACAGTATCACTGGCCTCTTAGGGTTGTTGTAAGGATCACAAGTTAATACTTGTAAAGTGTTTAGCACAGTGCCTGGCACATAGTAAGTGCTATATAAATGCTAGCTGTGATTAATAATATTATAACTATAATACTAATTATTAGTAGTAGTGTTAGTAATCTCATTATTACTATCATATTAGTAATATATCACATTATTAGTATATTAGTAATATGATGCTAATACAATATCTGATATGATACAATATGATAATAATATGATTTGTAATACTATTAATAATAATTACTATTATAGTTGTAATATTATGAGTAATAATTAGTAATTACACTATTACTAATTTAGTAGTAATGAGTAATTGCGTTATTACTCACTGTTAGTAATAATTAAGATTTCTGTTATTAATAATTCTAATTTAATTATTAATCATAATTATCCATAATAATCTTGTTACTAGTTATTAGTCGTAATAATTAGTGTCGTACTACAAATAGTGGTAATAATGTGACTATAACCATAATCAGTAATATTAATAACAATAACTAGCATTTATGTAGCACTTTAAGGTTTGCAAAGCGCTTTATTATTTCATTTGCTCTTCCAAGCAGCCCTGGGAGGTGGGTGCGACGACCTCGGGCCTTCCTGACTGCCGGGGCAGAGCTCTGCCCACTGCGCCACCTGGCCTCTGGCCTCCGTAGAGTAGACTTGTTCTGCTTGGCCAGGGGTCTGAGTTCCAACGAGGCCAATCTGGATACGACGTCAGAGGGAAAGCCCCAGCGATCGGAGCCATCCAGAGGTGGAACGGGCTGCCTCTGGAGGCTGGGAGCCTTGCCTCCTAAAGTGGAGGCAGCAGAGAGCATCTGGCTGGCGTGTCGTCGAACAGTTTCCTGCTCCGTTATAGCCGGTGCTGCCTCAGGTCCCTTCTGATGCAGAGATTCTGGGATTGTGCTTCCGCATTTCTGCGCTTTCCCTGAAGTCCTCCTCCCGTGTCCCACCAAAATAATAACAATAGATAGTATGTATGCGGTGCTTTAAGGTCTGCAAAGCGCTTTACTCATTACTTCATTTGGTCCTCACAAAGGTCAAAGTAGATGCTAGTATTATCCCCATTTTACAGATGAGGAAATTGAGGCAGGTTTAGATTATATGAATTGCCCAGGATCACACCACTTGTTCAAGGCAGGATTTGAACTCGGGTCTTCCTGACTCCAAGACCATCACTCTATCCACTGCACCACCTAACGGACAGGAAGGTTTCGGCGCTGGCTGTATGCTCATCATTCCACCACCAGCCTGGCTAGACTAGAAAAGCCCATCAGCAGGTGAGCCTCAGGCTGCTACAATCATTCTCAAGGAGCCCCTCCCAAGTTAGACAGAGGTGGGGCTCCAACCCCGTGAGGAGGGAGTGGAGAGGGCTGGAGTGACAAGTGCGGACAGAACAGATAGTTGGCATTTATAAATGGTCCTGATGTCTGGGGGACTGAGAAGCCCTGGGCATACCCCAAATGTACCGTCTTCCTCAGTGTGGTGCAGCGATGGGTCATGCTGGGTAAGGGCCGGCAGATGGCGCCCAGAGCCTTTGTTCCGACGGCAGGCCGATCTCTGTGCCACCTAGACTGTGGCACGGGGCTCAGTGGGACCAAGGTCTCCCGGGGAGAAGCTTCCAAAGACTGAGAGCTTTTGAACGGCAAGGGCTGTCTCCTCCCACCGCCACCGCCACCCCCACCCGCAGCGGCCCAGCAGCTCCCTCCCTGAGGGTCAATGACCGTATGTCCCTTTAAAACAATAGCTCAGTTTTCTGTAATGCTCTAAGGCTTCACAAAGCACTCTGCTTATGACAGCCCTGGGAGGCAGGCAGTTCTACGATTTTATTATTATTAAGAGTAGTAATAACAACAAAATCTAGCACGTTTATATAGCACTTTAAGGTTTGCAATGCCCTTCACATACGTTCTCTCACTGATCCTCACAACCCCGGGAGGTAGGTGAGGATTTTACAGATGAGGAAACAAACTAGGAGACATTAAGTGACGTGTCCAGGGCCACACGATTTTAAGTGCCAAAGTCAGGATTCGAACTCTGGTCCTCCAAACACTAAATCCACCACCCTATGCCCTGTGTGACCTAGCTTCCTATTATTGTGCTCGTTTTACAGATGAGGAAGCTAAAGTCCAGAGTTCAGCAAGTTACTCAAGGACATACTGCTGATGTTTTGTCTTTCCTGTGAGACTAGGGGTTCCCTAAGGGTAGGGTAGTGCTTTCTCAATTTCAGGTTCATCCTGTCCTGGCCCAGTCCCTGTCTCCCAGTGCCCAGTCCAGAATTCTGCACACCACGTTCCTAGGACAGAGAGGGCGGTTTGTCCTTGCTCTCTGAGGCTTTGAAAACCTGCAACATCTGCCATAGAGGGAGAATTGGGGGGGGGGGGGAAGCATGCCTTTTGCCACAAATCATCAGATTCTACCCAACCGTGTCTGTGCAAAGTGACCCCTCCTCCAGGGAGCTCTCCCCCAAAATCTCCAGTTCCCATATACCCTGGGGGTAGCAACGGCATGGCCCAAAGGAAAAGGCTGAACTTCCTCATTTAAGGAAGGGATGATGTCAGCCCTGCCTCTGGAAATGGAATCATATCCCACCGTCCTGATCCCTTGGACATCCACCAGACTCTGGGAAGGAGAAGCGACTCATTTCACCCTTATCCAATGATGAAACTGGGGGCCCCTGGCACTCTAGAGTGTGATTCTATCAACCAATTCCTGCAGGTCCAGCCTGCCCTGCCCTCATCATGGATCAGGTCGGAGGACAGGATACCACTGACTAGGACAAGGTCACAGTCTCAGAGCTCAACCTCATCCCAAGAAGACCGCCCCTAATCTAAGCACTGACACCTCTAAACAAGGCCACAGACTGGTGTCTCATCCCAGATACACATTGATTCCTAACTTGACCAATCATTTACTCTAATCTTGGCCACTGACTGGCCCCTAACCCCAACCACCAACCGCCCTCAGCCACAGGCTGACTCCTGACCCTGGGTCTCTTTAGATTATCAGCAATTTGGGGTCACCCAGGCCCTGCCTCTCACCTCAGGGAGCTAAACATGATTTTTTTCAAGGAGAACCTGCTGATCAAAAAGAACAAGATAGAGATCAAAAGGTACGTAAGAAAGTAATTAATTGCAGCTTTGTGGACAGGTGAATAAAGGAATCAATGAACGGATGGACTGAGAAAGGGTCAGATACCTCTTTTATTCCAAAAGTATCGAAGGCACTTACAATACAGAGCAAGGGAAAAGGAGAGAAGAACTGAGAGGCACCAAGAAATCCAATCAGAAGGGTGCACAGAGATTAAGTCCAAGGGGTTAGAAGCGGATTCCCCACCCCAGCCCTGTTAGAAGGTACAGTACAGTATGTAAGAAAGCTACAAGGGATGCCCTGGGTAAAATCAGTTGAGGCTTCTGCATATTAAAAAAAGATAAAAAATTAATTCTTCTCAGGATCAGAAAAAATAATCCCATGGGCCTTGCAGAATGAGAGGCCCTGGGGAAGGGGGTCCCGAGTCACGGGCTCTCTGAGCCCAGAAGCCTCTCAGGTCTCACGATGGAAAAGGTCTTGGTACATCTCAATGAGGCGGGCTGCCTCCCGCTGGCCAGAGAGCAGGGCGCCATGAGTGGTGGAATAGTATTTTCGGTGTGTGGCCTCCCCAGAAAACAGGACCTGCATGGGCTGGAAACAGACCAGGAGAGAAACCAAGGTAAGTGGGAGTCAAAAGCCTCCTGGGTTGGTACAGTGGGTGAAGTTAGTCTACACAGTGGGCCACTTTTGTCTCAAATTGCTAGTGAGCAGTTACTGAGGGTTTAGGCACTATCTCCCCTCTCCAACTCCTATCCCATGAGACAGCTGAAGGCAAGAACACTGTGCCTCCCAAAAGGCCAGATTATGAACACTGTAAAGGGCCTCAGCCACCATCACGTCCAGCCTGTGCCTGAGCAAGAATCCTCTCTATAACCTCACTGATAAGAAGCCATCCATCTTGTGCTGGAGAGCCCCCAGCAATGGAAACTCAGTACCTCCCAAGGCAGCCCAAAACGCAGAACAAGACAAATCTTTCATCCAAATCTCAGCCCTTCAAACATAAATTATGTCTCCTGCCAAGGGCCTTCTCTTATCTACGCCAAACATCCCCAGGTTTTTTCAACTGATCCTCAAATGTCCTGAGCTCCCTGGTGCCTTTTACCAGCCCAGTCGGCCTCCCCTGGACACTCTCCAGCTTCTCCATGTCCTTTCCAAACTTCAGAGCTAGAACTGAACATAATACTTCTACTAAGAGCTGAGTAGGATAGACCACCAGGACAATTCCCTCCTCATTCCCAGATGCTAAGCCTCTTTCTTCATGCAATCTCCTTCCTCCGGGTTTCCCCCTTCAATGCTTGGCCCATCTACTCTACCTATATACTGCACATCCCTACTGATACACACATTGATTCTCCCATTAGAGGGTAAGCTCCTTGAGGGCAGGGACTTGTTTTGCCTTTCTCCATTGCC